CCTGCGCAGCACGCACGTGTACTTGCACACGCACGCACACACTCATGCACCCTCGTGTACGTGCACATGCACGCACATGCACGCACATGTACGCACTCACGCATGCACGCACGTGTACGTGCACACGCACGCACGCACGTGTACGCACACACGCACGCACGTTTACATACACACGCACGCACGCATGCATAATAAATCGTAATAATCGCTATCGGGTGTTGTCGTGTATAATAAATAAATAAATATATATATATATATATATATGTACGTGTGTGTGGATGTGGATGTAGATGAATATAAATAGAAATCTAGAATATAAGATAAAGAGAGATTCATATAGAGAGGATAAAATAGGCTGCACATTAGGCTAGACATCATACACTACGTTTATATCAGACCTTATTCACTCTTTACATTATGTTTCTTACATTACTGCCTTCCAACAATTTTTCAAGTCTATAATATAGTGTACATATAAGTTTCTGTATTATCCTCATCATAGATCAAGTCAGAATATAAAAATAAATAAATAATAATAAAATTGCAATTTATATAAAAATGTATAAAATTGATGTGATGCTGTCGTAACTAAACCCGATTCGATATCTTTCCCGCACAGATGTACGACCTTGAGACGCCGGGCAAACAAGAGAACAGCTCGCCGGGCTGCGGATACACTGACGCGTCGTGCACGACTGGTGGCGCCACCTCTCTGTGTGGCGAGAACGGGGAATGTGTCGGTAGCATGGTGTATGGTCAGGGAGTGTGCGCGTGCTTCCCCGGCTGGCAGGGCCTGACCTGCGACCAAGGTAGGGAGAGAGAGGGGGCAAGAAGGAGAGAGGGAAGAGAACGGGAGAGGAAGAGAGGCAAGGGGAAGACAAAGAGAGAGAGAGAGAGAGAGAGGAGAGGGAGAGAGGGAGAGAGGGAGAGAGGCGGGGGAGAGGGAGAGAGGGGGAGAGAGGAGAGAGGGAGGAGGGAGAGGGAGAGAGGAGAGAGGAGAGAGAGAACAGAGATAGGAGACAGTCCCACCTTGTGTATTATTTATTATCCAATCGTTCATTTCACTCGATTTTCATGCACAAATTACCCAAACTTTCCATCAGTTCCACACTAACCAACCATTTTCATAACGCCTCCCCCATGTAGTGGTATACCCACAGCTACATACTACACACGATAACACACGTACACACGCTTCAAACCGACTATTTTCTCGACTGACGCCCCGCTTTGCTCCCCCCCCACAGCCATAGCGGAGAGGTTAATGTATATTACGTATATATTTATAATATATAAAAAATAAATAAATAAATGTAAATTTTTTATATATATATTATTAAAAGATAATATGTGTGTTTGCCCGCAGCGATTGCGGAGAGGTACTGGGACGACGACAGCTACGTGCGCTACAGCCTGAAGCAGAGCGTGCCGCTGAAGCCGCAGTGGACAGACGTGCTGTTCCGATTCCGCACTGTCGTCAGCGACGGCATGCTATTCTACGCGGAGGGAACCGACGTCTACCTAGACGAGTTCGTCATCGTGCAGGTACGGGGGAGGGAGAGTGGGAGAGGGAGAGGGGGCAGGGAGAGAGAAGGAGAACGAGGAGGGAGAAATAAAAGGAGAGGGCATGCTATTCTACGCGCAGGGAACCGAGTCTCTACACTAGACGAGTTTTCGTCATCGGGCAGGTACGGGGGAGGGGAGAGGGAGAGGGGAGGGGGAGGCAGGGGGAGGGGGAGAGGGTCAGGGAGAGAAAAGGAGGGAGAGAGGAGAAAGAAGAGGAGAGGGCATGCTATTCGACGCGGGAGGGAACCGACGTCCTACCTAGACGAGTTTCGTCATCGCGTGCAGGTACGGGGGAGAGGGAGAGAGGGGAGGGGGAGGCAAGGTTAGGGGAAGAGGGGCAGGGCAGAGAGAAGGAGAGAGAGGAGGAAAATAAGAGGAGAGGGCATGCTATTCTACGCGAGGGAACCGACGTCTAATCTAGACGAGTTCGCATTGTGCAGGTACGGGGGAGAGAGGGGAGAGGGGGAGGGGAGGCCAGGGGAGGGGGAGAGGCAGGAGAGAGAAGGAGAGAGAGGGAGGGAGAAAGAAGAGGAAGAGGCATGCTATTCACGCGGAGGAATCGACGATCTACTTATAGACGAGTTCGTTCATCGTGGCAGTGACGGGGTGGGAGAGGGGAGAGGGGAGGGGAAGGGCCGGCAGGGAGAAGAGAAGGAGAGAGAGGAGGGAAGAAAGAAGAGGAGAGGCATGAAAGCTATTTCTTACCGCGGGGAACCGACGTTACCTAGACGAGTTCGTCATCGTGCAGTACGGCGGTGGAGAGTGGGAGAGGGGAGAGGGGCAGGGAGGGGAGACCGGGGGCAGGGAGAGAGAAGGAGAGAGGGGAGGAGAAAGAGAGAGGGCATGCTATTCTACGCGGAGGGAACCCGAGTCACCTAGACAAGTTCGTCATCGTGGCAGGGTACGGGGAGAGGGGAGAAGGGAGAGAGAGAGGCAGGAGGAAGAGAGAGGCGGGGGAGAAGGGCAGGGTAGAAAGAGTGGAGGAGAGAGGGGAGAGGGAAGGGGGAGCGAGGCAGGGGAGGGTTCAGAGCAAAAACTAAGGGAGGAAGAGACGGAGCGACATGAGAAGATCGAGGAAATAAATGGCGGAGAAGCGGAGAAGAAAAGAGGCCGAGAAAATAAGAAATGAGACCTTGTTGCGAGATTTGAGACAGAAGAGAGCGCGAAGGATAGAAGAGATTTAATACGAGAAATGGATCAGGGCAGAAAGCGAGAAAGTCGCTCACTTGTTCCGGCTACGCCCTCCTATAACGTGCACGCACAGTCGTTATCACTTTATTCCGCCAATTCGCCGCTATATCACGCAATGGCGCTCTGCAACTGAACGGCGAGCCTCGGCAGCGATCCCCGCATGGGGCTGCTACCGTCGTTTGTTGCGCGACGACGCGCAAGGCACACGGCGCGCGCCGAGCGCTACCGGCAAGCGCCTCATTTGCTCGGGTCGACCGGCGGCGGCGGGCCGCCACAGGGGAGTCACTGGGCGCTCCGCTCGATCATATCGGCTTCATCGACGTGAGCGGACGCGGATGGTGGAGGATCAGGTGAGACTCCGCGACGCGTGTTCAGCGACTTTACAGGTGAGATAGAAGGGCGGAGAGTGGGAGAGACAGAGACAGGAGGGGAGAGAGAGAGAACAGGCAGGAGAGAGGGAGGGATGGGCGTAGAGAGATAGAGAAGATGTGAGGGCAGAGGGAGAGAGAGAGAAGAGAGAGAGAGATGAGAGGAGAGACGGAGAGGAGACGAGAGAGAGAGACGGGAGCGCCGTTAGAGCATATACTAGGACGAGCGGGCAAGGTAAGAAAAATTTAAAGTGACGAGCGCAGTGCGCAGAGAGAGAGAGAGAGGGAGGTAGGAAGAGCGAGGAGAGACGAGAGAGAGAGAGAAGAGAGGAGAGAGAGAGCGAGAGAGAGAGAGAGAGAGAGGAGAGGAGAGAGAGAGAGATAAGTGAGAGGAGAGTAGGAGAGAAGAGAGAGAGAGAGAGAGAGATGTGAGGGAGAGAGAGAGAAAGAGCGAGAGGAGATGAGATGTGAGAGTGAGAGAGACAGAGAGGGCGGTGAGTGAGAGAGAGAGAGAGGAGAATGTAGAAGAGAGGAAGAAGAGTTGCGCGATTGTGTATGAAGAGAGAGAGAGAGAGCAAGAGGTCTTAGACATGTGTTTGACATGTGTTTCCATATATTTAACGTGTGTTGCATACCGTATTCACGTGTGTTATCGTGTTAGTTTCGCCAATACTCACGTACGCCTCTCGCGTGCTGTTCCTTCACTGCGCCGTCTCTCCGCCGCGCGCGCAGGTTGCGTTCGCCGACATCCAGTGACTCGCTACGCTGCCAGCTCCCCCTGCCAGCGAGACTAATGCACCGTACGCGAGCAGCGGGCAGTCGCGGCGTCACCGATCCGACTGCTCGCACGAATGCGGACTACTGTGTGCGGGGTCTCCCTGTCCGCGTCCTCTCGTCTGCTTCAGCGTGATTGGCACCACTACGAAGTGCGTCGGTGAGGCAGCAATTGTAGCCCAACTGCCTCACTTTTGTAATTTAAATTAACTATATTAATTTATTTATATTGCGCGCCATCTTTTTACCATAAACAATGATCAAAAGCGCCCAGCAATCAAATCGAAAACGCGTCTTAATGCACGTAGCTGCGATTCCTAGCATAAATGAATTAGCCAGTCCCTAGCATGAATGGAGTAGCCCACTCTCCTCGCTTAAATGAGTTGGCCGCGCTCCCTTAGCATAATATACATTTAGTCTAGTATGGTCCCTCACCTAGTGAAGAAAGCAGATGTATGACAAATAACTATTATTATTATACATTATATTCATGTAATATTATCTATTTCTCAATATATATATATATATATATATCATTAATGTATCCAATAAGATAACATGTCGTCATCACTACTCTAGGTGTAACTACGGTTACCAGCTGAGCGTAGATGGCACCACGTGCGTCGACGTCGACGAGTGCGACGCGTACGTCAACCCGTGCCTCAACAATGGCGTCTGCATCAACGTCGACCGGCTACTTCACGTGCGTCTGCGGCCGACGGCTACAGTGGTGACCTCTGTGTGATCGGCGGCGGCGGCGACGACGTCAGCCCCCATACTCCATTAGGAGTGTTCCTAATAATAATGATAATAATAATTTTAATAATAATAATAATAATAATAATACTAATAATAAGGAGGGCTTAAGATATGAATATAGTGTGTCAATCGGTCTGTAAAATTTCGGTATTCGCATCATACGGATTGGCACCCAAGAATGGCATGAATATCGTGTTATCTCGGTGCAGAGCTGTTGAACTGCCTGCGTGTGCGTAACGTCGTGTGCATGTACGTGATTGTGCAATGTATCGTGCCTGTTTAGTCCCTGTTCACTGTTTTTTTGCAACCTGTTTACCTACTGTGCTGGTATACACTACATGTAATGTTACTGGTGGATAACCTTGTACAGTGCGATGTTATCTCTAGATTTCCGATAACTCTTTTCCAAGTTTTCTTGTTCAAGTCACGGCCCGTAGCCCAGGGTGGGGGCGGGGGGGGGGGTGCGGTGGGGGTCTCGGGGAGGTTCAAACGAAACACCCCCCCGAGCCAGTCCCCCCACCCCACCAAGCCAAGAAAAAAATAATAATCTTGGACAATTTTTGCAAGAATATTCGACCTCAGAGGTCGCTTCCATTTTAGATGTACATAATTGGCAAAATATGCCATCGTGCGAGCCGTGAACACGTGAACACCCCCCTCCACACCCTCCCCCCTCGCGTCAGCTGTGCCTCCCGTCGCCCGGTCGCTTCGCCGTCCCCGAGCCCGAGGGCGTCGTTTTGGGAGGGTCCAGCGAGTCCGGACCCCCTTGCTCGCGCAGAAAACGATTGAGGGGGTCTAATTTTTAAAAATTTTAATTCCAATTACCGGACCCAGAACCCCCCTTCGCGCTGCTCGCAAACTTTGGAGTTACGGTTAGACCACCCCCCCTGCGGTACAAATCCTGTACACGCCCCTGCCGAGCAACATTGCCAACATTGAAAAACGAAACCCCCCCCCCCCAATAGAAGAGCTGGCTACGGGCCTGCAAGTAATACATTTATTTCGATATTTTTATTTTATTTTTTTTATTTTCCGATGAAATTGATTATAGAAACTTGGATTTTAATACACGCAAGCGCTTGGTCGGCCTTACTGTTCAACCCGAATGACTCGAGTATAATCGCTGATTGCGTGAAACACTAATTATCAATCGATAATCATTAATCACTTAATGATATCAAAGTTGGAACACGTCCTAATGGAGCATCTAGCCACTATCTCCCTCCGCACCGGTTATTAGACTTCAAACTGCCATATTGGAACTATAATCACATCGAGAGAGACCGACGTGCATAAAATACGACACATGCGAGACTGCAGATTGCCGATTAGAAAAAGCTGTCGGTTTTGCAATTAGGCCCTACTCTACGCACAGTCTGAAGAATTAGGTAGAGAATTCCAATATATCATATCATTGAATATATGGGAATTGGGATGACAGAAACGAAGAAGCTAAACTTAAGGGGTCCTTTGAAGAGCGTAACATGTCGAAAGCAATGATCACGCTCAGTTGATCGCAGTGCAACGATAGACTCAGTGCTAGTGTAGTGCGAAATGCTAGTGAGTGTAGTGGGATGTAGTGTAGTGTCAGTAGTATGCTAGGGTAGTGGGAAAGCCGAAATTTCACGCGTGTTAATGATAAATTAAATATTATTAGTTATTAAGAATGACCGTAGATATTCTTCCGAGCATCGGAATTGGTTCAGTCAGCGATATCGGAGAAAAATAATTTGCCTGTTCGATGTAAAACGTTTTTCATATGTGAGGCATATGCTTTCGCACACAATTTCAAAATTTGCTTTATTGCAAAATCTGAGAAATATCAGCACCTATATCTATAGTCCAAATACTCTACGATGCTCGGAAAAAAATACTCTCACGGCCAGT